TCCCTTTCCCTTTCCCTTTCCCTTTCCCTTTCCCTTTCCCTTTCTTCCTCCTCCCTTTCCCTTTCCCTTTCCCTTTCCCTCTCCCTTTCCCTTCCATTTCCTCTTCTCCCTTTCCCTCTCCCTTTCCCTTCCATTTCCTCTTCTCCCTTTCCCTTTCCCTTTCCCTTCCATTTCCTCTTCTCCTTTTCCCTTTCCCTTTCCCTTTCCCTTCCCCTTCCCCTTCCCCTTCTTCCTCCTCCCTTTCCCCCTTCCCAACACCACACACCCTGGCCAAGCGCCGTGCCAAGAGCTGCCCAGAGCCAGCAGAGAGGAGCCCCAGGGGCAGGCAGGAGCCGTGGGCAGGCAGGAGAGGACTGTCACCCTCCCTGCCACCCTTAGCAGGACTGGAGCAAGGTGTGATCAAGGATCATCAGATCTCTGGCCAAGCTGCTTCTGAGGAGCTGGTGGGACCTCTCCAGGCTGCCAAGATCATCAAGTCCAACCCTTGAGCCATTAGGGCTCTAAAGTCCTCTGCTAAAACAGATCAGAAATCTGTCAGGGCTGGAAGGGACCCCAAGGATCCCCCAGTTCCAACCCCTCTGCCATGAGCAGGGACACCTCCCACTAGATCAGGCTGCCCAGAGCCTCCTCCAGCCTGGCCTTAAAGACCCCCAGGGATGGGGCCTCAACCCCCTCCCTGGGCAACCCATCCCAGGGTCTCACCACTCTCATGGGGAAGAACTTCTTCCTCACATCCAGCCTGAATCTGCCCACTGCCAGCTTTGCCCCATTCCCTCTAGTCCTGTCGTTACCCAATAACCTAAAAAGTCCCTCCCCAGCTTTCTTGTAGGCCCCCCTAAGATACTGGAAGGCCACAATAAGGTCCCCTCGGAGCCTTCTCTTCTCCAGACTGAACAGCCCCAACTCTCTCAGTCTGTCCTCACAGCAGAGCTGCTCCAGCCCTCGGGATCATCCTCACAGAGCAGCATCACCGGAGTGCATCATCACAAAGAATCCCCCGTGAGCGTCACCAGAGAGCATCACTGGGGAGAATCACCAGAAAGAATCGCTGGAGAGCGACCAGCATCACCAACCAGCATCACCAGAGAGCACCCCTGCTCTGAGCAGTGCCCGGTGCCAGCCCTGCCCTTCCCTCCCCGATGCAGAGGGGGCTGCTGCTCGCTGTCCCCTCCCCGGCAGCAGCAGGGACACTGAGACAATGCCAACGTCACCTCCTTGGCCACCAGCTCCTGCTGGTGCACTTCAACCCCGGGCCACCTCCCCCTGCCCCCGGGGCGGGCTCTGAGCCCTCACCTCCCCCTTCTCCTCCTGCCAGCCCCCTCTGCCACCCCCCAGCGCCCCAGATCTCCCCGCTCCTCCCGCATCAACCCGCCCAGGGTGGGGTTTTGGGGTGGGGGTTTAGGACAGGAGCCTCGAGCCGTGCCCAGGGGCCCTGGCACAGCCTCGCTGAGCACCCTCCTGCCAGCCCTGCACCAGCGCAGCCTCCCAGAGCTATATTTAGCCCCTTTCTCCCCAGGGAAGGGAATTTATGAGCTCCAGCAGCGCGTCCAAGCGTCCGTCAATCTGCCGGCCCCCCCCTTTCCCAGCTTTAGCAGGCGCTGCCTGAGCTCCAGCACGTCTGAGGAGGGGGGGGAAAGGTCACCAGGAGACGTCCTCCCTGCTGGAGGGGTTCAGCATCCCTGCTCCTCTCCATCTCCTGCATCCCTCCCGCAGCCCCCCACGTCCTCCCCTCAAAGGGGTG